TTTCTGTACCATAGAAATAAGATAAGTTGCTTACATCAATAAAACTCCCTGTTGCAGATCGTACAAAATTAACATTGAAGTTTTTCGAATTTTGGATAAATCCAAATTTTGAGTGCACCCGCTTCAAAACAGAATTGATTTCAGCCGTGAATCTCTCAGCTTTGCAACTGTACACCAAGAACTGCGAAAGAAACAGCTCAATCACACATGTTGTTGACCTAATAACAAGCATTATCTTGATTGTGCTGATTTTAAAACTTGTGATGAAAGCCTTCTTCCATCTTGATACAGCCGCCTATTCACGTTGTGCATTCTTGACACTTTGTCTTTTGTCCTGATTTTTGTTCCCTTACAAAGATGCAAGACATCTTTGATCTCAAACATTGTGCTCATAATCATCCGTAGGGCAATGGATAAGGTTGTAAAGTTATATTACTATCCTTCTCCGAAATAGATTCTTGCATAGAAAATGCATGAAAAACGAGAAAAGGTTTTATGAGAATTGGCTGTGACTATATTGCCATCTCAATAATTAGTGTAAACAATTTACAACACAGCAATGATTTTAAATGATGGACTAACGAATCAGCAGCACTCTTCCGCCGTGGTGAAAATGTAATTCTCAAAAAAATTGAAAGTAAAAGTCTGGCAGACAAAAGTGTGTTACGAAGTGCAGATTTGTAATTTGAATAATTTGGATCAGATTGTACCAAATAGATGTTGCCAAAGCAGCCTCTCAATCTCGTTTTGCAGCGAGCTAGATTCACGGAAAACGCCATGGCCGGCGATATACGCTTGTGCATTTGTTCACTGTTTGACCGGGATTCAAATGAGCATTTACTTCATGTCCACATGGCAGTATCTTACCGAGGTTCTGTTCTATTCTCCAGAAAATAGTGGCAAGTACAGTGATTTTAATGTCTCCTTTAGGTGGATAGCGCAGCTAGCATGGACTTCTTTGGGTGGGTGGTCGCAGCTGGCAGCTTAGGCTGTGCAATTGTAAGTATGTCGATTTGTTGTATGTCTATGATTTGAGGACAGATAGTCATTGGCTTATAGATGCTTCTTAGTTTTTCGGCAAAATTTCTTATTGCAGGCAAATCCACTATTTGGGCACTGGAGCCAACTTACTGGTTCTACAAAAACCCCAGTGTGTTTTGGATTTATCGTTAGCGCTGTTGGTAGGTAACGCATGTATATCATACACTTGGTGGATCCCATTGAACTTTTCGAATCTTTTTTTATGTCTGGAGTGGAACCATGTGTTGAACTTTTCAGGGAATCTTATCTATGCGCTTCTTCCTGCTCTACCGTTATACGCAAAGTGGGCAATGTTGATTTCCCGGTTCGCTACAGGCTTCGGTGCAGGTATGAGAAAGCTCATTAGAGCAACATTGTATGATGCTTATTTCCTAGATTTGAACACTTTCATAAGGATCTCAGGTGACATGACACCTGAAAAAAAAATCCGTCCATTCTTGAAAAAAATGGTTTCCACATAGCGTGAACCCAATCTCTTCAGGAACTCTTGGAGTTCTTCGAAGTTTTGTCGCTACAGCAAGTACGCGAAAAAGTCGTATCCGAGCAGTTTCTCTGGGTACTGCTGGTTTCACATCTGGGCTATCAGTTGGTCCAGCTTTTCAGGTAATATCTTGATTACTGATAAATTTCCAAAATTGGCAAATTGCTTCAGATTTGCTTCATCCCATTGGGCAACGAAGGATTCAATATTGGCCCTCTCGTCTTCAACATGTATACAGCAGCTGCCTATTTTATGTCAGTAAATGTAGTTCTGATTGGCCGACAAAAATTCTTTCCCTTGTACAATCCCTAATGTTTCAGGTGTATCGTCAGCATTCTGTCTGTTTTTGTTGTGCAAACATTCTTCGTAGAGGATTATGTTGGAATTATCAGCGATGAAGAAAAGAAAGGTAGTTGATCTTGAATCATACTAAAAT